GAAATTGGAGGGGGTTTCTACAACAGCACAACAAGCACTTCTTTTGGCCCTTATCAGCACCCTCATAACACCATATCTCTGATATCTCACCTTTAAAACATACCATGAAGCAATTTTGTCAACTCACTTGTATATTGACACTCTCCTCCAGGCGCCTATTGAAAAGGTTTGGCACCTTTTGATTGCACCCCGGGTTTCATTTTTATTTTCCCTGTATATCTCCCAAAGCAGCCCACAAGATTTTTTGGGGGAATAGAAAGGGGGGGGTAGAGTGGGGAAGGGGCCCAGTGGGTCAAGGTCCAAAAAAATGTGAAACATTGTGACCAAAAACGACTAAAGCTTCACCCCCCTATTGAAGGGTAAGTACGTTTAATTAACCCTAGAGTCATTCTCTAAAGACAAAGACAAAGAGAATTCCCAAAGAAGAAAAAACAGTGGGTTTTTTGAGAAGGGTTTTCTGTTGACTACAAATAAAGCAAACAGTGTGCAATGAGAACAGAGGAATTCTACAGACATTTCTCACATAGAAGGTGGAAATTTGTTGAAAAAAATCTAAGCTGGTATTTTAATCCTTAAAAGCCAACCAATCTGAGGCATCCCAAAATTGATAAATTGGAACGCCGCTGCGAGCCAGCCAAAATCCCCCCAACACAGTCCGACCTACTAATCTTTTGGGGCTGAATGGCAGCAAGTCCCCGCAGAAAATGTTTCAATATCTAGGGGAAAACCTTCCCAAAGAGTGGGGGGGTTTTTTAATGCCCACATACTTTTGATCAGTAGTGTACCTTCCCCCAATGACCATTTGGGGCCCTCCCATCAGATAAAATGGGCCCCTATTTTTTTAAAAACATAAATGATTAAAAAAGATGTGATTTTGGGAATGACAAAAAATTTACAAAAGAATTCAGAGCTTAGCTATTCAAAAAAGGGGGAATTTTTTGAACTATGACGATAATATAAAAATGCCTTTTTTTCCAGAAAATGTGCCCTTTTTCTGACTTGGCTTAAAAAAAGGCCACTTTTGGAAAATTTAAATTTGGACCCTCAAATAGAGCAATAACTTTTGAAATCCTCTTTAATTTACATACATTTCATTCGGGAGGCGCTGAGGGGAAGACGGCTCATAAAAATGGCGAACAAGTGAAGGGGAAAGGGCATAAAACCATGTTTTTGATGTATTATACCTTTCCCCCCTTTTTGCTCCGACATTCCAACCCCCTCTCCCCAATTAAGGGCCACAACCTCCTGTGTTTTATTGGATATGATACAAAAAAAAAAAATCCCCTTGTTCTATTTTAAAAAAACAAATTTTATTAACTTATGTTGTTATGCATGGAATTTAATCAAATCTTTATAATCTTAAAGGCATGTACACCTATTTCTCAAGCCAGAAAAATATATAAGAGAATTTAGAGCCCCCCTAAAAAACATTCCCAAAATTGAAAAACTTTAAATCGTTTTTAAATTTTGTAATTTTGTTCAA